TCAAATTTAGTTATTATAATAATCCAACATATAATGTCGACAAATATTATTATCATTTAAAGAATATAAGAAAACATATGGTGGATGCATGTGCATGGTAACAATAATGGAAAAGATAACGGAAGTTATAACGGTAGGGGTATTTTTGTCCAAAAAATTATATTGTACAATTCTAAAAGCACAATGTACAAAATGATTAGCATTAAAAACATGAGCATAAATGAGGGATATAACTTTGATTGAGACTTATTATGTTTTTAGATTAGATTATTATTATTGTTGTTGTTATTATTATAGTTTAGTTAAGAGTAAAATTCACTTTTGGTCCTACATTTATTGTGCATTGGACACATTTTGTCCGCTTTAATTAATTTTATCACATTTTACCCAGGCTTTATAAAAGTTGGACACTTTTAGTCCATCGTCTAAATTGGCGTTAAGTCTCCGTGAACTAAAGGGTATTTTTGTCCATTCCACCGCTCATCTTCATCATCTGGCTATTGGACATTCTTCTGCGGCGGCTTTTGATTGCGTTCTCAACCTCAGCTTCAAGAACCCCACTCCCATCCGCAAAATGGGGTTTTCGCCGGAGAAAGAGGCAGCGACGTGCGGGAAATACCCATCAAAGTCGAAGTCAAAGAGTGGCAGTAAAGATTCCGGAGCTTCTTCTCGGCCGGATCGTGGACGGGAGATAAAAATCAATTGTAATCACTAGAATCAATTCGTGGAATCAACCTACTGCATAAACCTCGGCGGAGCAACCCGGCGAGTCTGGTGTTGCGGAACAACGATGAAGGCGACGGGGCTAGGCGATAGCAAGGCAGGACTCCCGGCGACTTCCTTCTGTCGAAGCCAGTGGATGGCGATGGTGGGGCAGAGCTTCCGGCGGAGCGATGCAGACGACCAGGGACAACGTTGGTTTGGTGGCGCACTGGTTGCGACGGGAACGACAAAGGGGAGATGTTTGAGTGTGTTGGTGTAGTCACCATTTTTCCTCTCTCTCGTTTGTGGCCCCTGGTGACCGGGAAGACGGAGGAAAGATGGAGGATAAGTATTGGTGCTGTCAGCTGAACTCTTTCTCACCTAATTTTGTGGCTGTGCCATGGCAGTAGACTCTGTCTCTCTCCTATTTCTGGTAAGGTAATACATTCTGATTTATCAGAACTGCCTCCATCTTTTTACTTCAAGATTGCAACTTTTCACTGGGTTTGTTATGGGAATCCTATAATTTGTCATGAAGCTATTTTCTTCTTCTGGTTATTCATGAAATATAGCATTGGTGGACTGTTGTGGATGCGATTTGGTCGTGCGATTGCTCAAGAGCCCCCATATTATGAAGAGCAGAAAAAAGATTTTTTTTTTTAAATACAAAAAAGTTCATGAGAGATTTCATTCTTGGTTTTGAGGATTTGGCTGAGGGTTTGTTCTAGTATTTCTGGGATGTTTTCAAGTTCGCAGCTGATGAATTTATGCTTTTCTGTTTGGTGTTTGCGTCTTTAGCGGAATAATTCTTTGCCTGCTTGCTTAGCAAAATCTTGATTGCTTAAACACATTAATCAATCTAAGCTTTATGAGTTGCTGTTGCAAGTATGGCAATGCCAAGAACAGGCCACCGAAATTTTTCTTGATTTGTCTCTTCGACTTTGTTTGAGAACAAGAACAATAAGGGTTGAGGAAGAAGAGCAATAGAAAGGACTAAAATGCCCTTCAATTTCACGGAAACTTATCATTAATTTAGACGGTGGACTAAAAGTGTTCAATTTTTATAAAGTCTGGACAAAATGTGGCAAAATTAATAAAAATGGGCAAAATGTGTCCAATGCACAATAATTTTGTATTTTCTCTTATATTATTAATATAAATTTTGTTAGATTAAAGTTTGGGCTTTATTTTATTATACTAGTCTTTTCTATGCACAAAAACATATACCGAATATTTATATTTATATTTTTTAAAATAACTAACAAATCCCTGCTAATTAAAACTATATGAAATCAAATTTAGTTATTATAATAATCCAACATATAATGTCGACAAATATTATTATCATTTAAAGAATATAAGAAAACATATGGTGGATGTATGTGCATGGTAACAATAATGGAAAAGATAACGGAAGTTATAACGGTAGGGGTATTTTTGTCCAAAAAATTATATTGTACAATTCTAAAAGCACAATGTACAAAATGATTAGCATTAAAAACATGGGCATAAATGAGGGATATAAATTTGGTTGAGACTTATTATGTTTTTAGATTAGTTTATTATTATTGTTGTTGTTATTATTATAGTTTAGTTAATAAAATTGTTGGTCAGCCGTTATTTTGGGGCCATCAAATAAACAATTGTTTCACTCTTTTCGTCAATGGTCGATGAACGAGAAAGGCGCAGCGAACCAGTATTCCGCAGATCCGACTCCTTTTGGCCATCCGATTGAATCAGAGAAATTGTGTCTGGGCTCGAAGAGGCGATGGAGGAGGCGCAGCGAACCAGTATTCCGCAGATCCGACTCCTTTTGGCCATCCGATTGAATCAGAGAAATTGTGTCTGGGCTCGAAGAGGCGCAATAAGTTTCTGGTTCTTTTCTCTTTGTCTTTTTATCTTGCGAACCAGCCTATGCCTCACATAGGGCTTATGCGCCGATTGGAACAAAGACACATTTGGTTGGGAATTAGCTCTATTACATTGTAGTAACACCTCCACTGAGGCTCGAACTCACAACCTTCCAAATAGAAGTCCAACTCGGATACCATTGGACCACATAGTCCTGGTCAATTCTTATTTGTTATTTACAAACAAAGGTTGTAATTCCTTTAGGGGGTGTTTGGTTGGATGGAAAACATTTTCCATGGAAAATGTTTTCTTAAAAGTGAAGGAAAATGTTGTTTGATTGGATGGAAAACATTTTTCATTGGAAAATGGATTCCTTAAACTTGAGGAAAATGAATTCTTTGCAAAGGGGTGGGATTTTGTTTTCCACATGGATTGGGAAGAAAAATAACTTGAGTGTACCATTTTACCCTTATAAAAGTTTCTTAATTACATAGACATTTATTCATTCATCTTTTTAAGGGCATATTGGTCTTTATATTCATTATTCCTTATCTTTCTAAACCCAACCAAACAATGGAATTCATATTCCCAGTAATTTCTTTTCCACCAACCAAACCATTGAATCAATTTTCCTGGAATTTATTTTCCATGGAATTTCAATTCCATTTCCCTTCAAATCTTTTCCAGCGAACCAAACGGGCTGTAAATTTGTTCTCTTTATTCTCTTCTATTGCTAATTTGCTTTGTGATAGTTATTGAAAGATGATGTTTTATGAGTTAACTTCTGTGTTTTTCTTTATGCTTTGCTAAGTTTTTTTAATCCAGGAAATTTTTATGACATTATCTAAGTCTTTGTTTTGATTTAAGTGTTTAATTTCGCCAGAATTTTGTTTTAATCTTTGGTCGAAAATGGTTAATTGGTTGTGTTTTAGGGTCATATTGTTTTTATCGTTTAGACCTTATGTTTTGACTTTTGATTCAATTACTTTACAATTTAATTAGTTGACATTATCTTGAAATTTGATTCTAGTACTTTAAGCTTTTAATTTAATTGTTTTAATTTCATGTCAGTAAATTGCATTGTATCATTTCCTTGTGGGTTCGACCCTTGTTATTGTACACTATCACTATAACTGATTCGTGATTGCGATGGCATATAATTAAAATTGTCCATCAACAATCCTAAAATTTTCAAAGTTTTACTAAAAGAAATTAAATTTAGGGAAAATCAACGATTTCACCCCTCAATTGTTGGCGAATTGTCAATGTAGTTCCTCAATTCCATATTCATCAATTTGGTCCTCGAAATCAATTAATTTTGGTCGAATAAAATCTTCCGGTTGTATTCCGTCGTTCAGTCGGTGAGAGGTCCAATTTACCATGGGCATTTCTGTCTTTTCTCAAGTCCGGTCCAATTTACCATGGGCATTTCTGTCTTTTCCCAAGTCCAGTGAGTGGTAAGAAAGGGCGATGGAGGTGAAGTCCAAATTGGGCTTGGTCCCACCGCCTCTGCCACCACCTCATCCCTTCGGCCTTCCACCTCCTTCCTTCTCCTTCCAACAACTTATCACCTCATGGCCAAATGGACCACAATTTCCACAATACATTGGCACTTTCTCAAACATAAATTGCTATCGGAAATCCTTCGATTCACCATTTTCACTCACAATTTCATTCCAAAATCTATCAATTATAGGTTTGGAGACATCAATTTCCAGTCACACTTTGTCCACACTCGGCCTAGATCTTCGATTCATCGCCAAATCTAGGTCGATGACTCTGCAAATTGGATCACATATGCAAGAAATTGAATGGAAATTGAACAAATGATAAGGTAATCTAGGCATTTGAATCCATACCAATCTGGATTCCTCCATTTAGGTGAAGAATCGAACATATTTTCGCCCTAATCAAATCTAGCGAATGTCTCTCCTTCGCAAAACGGCCGATTAAGGTGAGCCTCTCCTCAATCGCTGCCATCTTTTCCCATTCTGTTTCTGAAAACCTCAACGGCAGCTTTCCCCGACCCTTCTCTGCCTCCAGATTTCTCATTTGCAACAAATCTATTGGATCGCTCTTAGATCTGGAATTTGCGCAATATTGAGGTGCGATTTCTGAAAACCGACACAATCTGACAACAAATTCCCGATCTGATCATTAATCGAAGCTTCTGGAGACCTCCTTGACGCTGTCGCTGATTTCGCGATCTCCGGCGACGTAGCCACTGTCGGAAACTGCTCCGCCGCCGCCCAAAGTTCAACGATGGTAAGAAAGGGCTGAACTTTGGAAAAGACAAAAATGGTCATGGTAATTGGATATTTCACCGACTGAACAACGGAATATGGTCGGAAGGATTTATTCGACCAAAATTAATTGATTTCGATAATCAAATATTCAAATTCATGAATATGAAATTGAGGGACCAAAACATTGATTTTTCCCTTATATTTATTAATGAATACAAACTCATTACACAACTTCCAAATGTTCCATAACATTTAAGGAAACACCAGCTTGCATTTACCATTCATCCTCCTGGCGTACATTGATTAAACTTAAAACTTATTGCATTGAAACGTACACACAGAGCAAATGTAAAACTCGAGAAACTACTTATACCAGATAGACACACATCTAAGATAGATTATGAAATATGTTTAACAATTATTGAAACAGAGTATGTAGTTGAACCACCCTAATATGCAAACTGAATTATCGGTTCATTCCTCCTTGAACTCCAGGAGCCGTCATTCCAACTCCCATATTTTGTCTCTCCATATTTCCTTCCCATCCTTGAAAAAGAGAAACAATACATTAGTATACTAAATAACGTAAAAAGTGCGTGCAATTTAGGTCTATCAACGTTTAATTTAATAATTCAAATAATAAATGAAATTAAAATTAAATTGTAAAAGTGAGATATATACCAAGTGACATGTTGAATCCACGGTGTTTGAGTTCACGGTACTCTTGGCACAGAGCGCAGCTTCCACAGCAACAATGAACAAGGCAATCTCCGCAAGGACTTGCAGGCAACATATACTGCTTCCTAAGCTTTGAGCGATAGAGGCATGAATAGAAACAAGGGCATCCAAGAAGTGCTATGAGACAATACAGGGCTCCACTTGCCCCACAAGCTGCATTCCACATAAACAAAATAAGTAAATGCTAGAAATTAAGAATTTTTTGTTACATAAAATTAATATTTTATACGGTGAGAATGTGTCTGAACACTTCATTATGTGAGAACGTACAAACAAGTATGAATGCATACAATCTACTCTATGGATGACGATGAAGACTCTAAAGTAGGTAGACTGTAATATTGTATGCACTCATATTGTAATTAAGGAAGAGTTTCTGTCATTTGAATACGAGCATGCATATATATATATATATATATATATATATATATATATATATATATATATATATATATATAATCCTAATCATAAGAATGGAGAACTTGTGGACAAATCCAAACCATTGATTTGCAAGATTTGATAGATAGAAAATCAAGTAAAAAATGAGTGGGATCATTTTTATAAATATTATAAATTTTTAAAATGAACGAAGTCATTTTCATAAATATAAAGTTTTGTTTATTTTCAATAGTTAAATCTACTGAATCAATAGTTTGGATTTGTTCACTGGTTCTCACTTAAGACATGATTCTCACCTGATTATGTATGTATGTATGTATATATATATATATATATATATATATATATATATATATATATATATATATATATATATATATATAGGGATGCACTCAGGTGCGAATAAGTGCCCAGGAAGGAATATGCGAATGAATCAGCGCGCGACACGTGTTCAAATCTAATAGCTTGAAAAATGCGGTGGCATTTTCGTAAATAATTGAACATCGAAGTGCAAGTAAAATCACTTACAAGTGAACCTACTTTCACCTATAAGTGCATGTAATTTTGCCTTGTTAGCATTCACTTCCCACAAACATTCATGCACCTGGGTGTGCTTATAACTATAGGTGCAACTATTTATAACTATAGGGGCAAATACTTATAACTATAGGTGCACCTACTTTCACCTATAAGTGCATATAATTTTGCCTTGTTAACATTCATTGATCTGAGTTCAGCGGGTAGTAATACCCCTGAAAACCACCCGCAAACATTCATACACCTAGGTGCAACTACTTATAGCTATATGTGCAACTACTTAGAGCTATAGATGCAACTACTTATAACTATATGTGCACTTAGTATTGATGCTACTCAGTGTAAATTTTTACTTGCACCTATAATACATTTTATATGCACTTGTAATACATTTTACTTGCACTTCGATGTTCAATTATTTACGAAAATGCCACCGCGCTTTTTTAAAAAATTAGTGTTACTCATCCATTAGATCTGGACACGTGGACGGACAGAATCCATTCCTATTTCGCTCCTGGGCGAAGCATTCGCATGTGAGTGTGATTATATATATATATATATATATATATATATATATATATATATATATATATCATAATCTTCACTATGTGGGGGTGTTTATTGTCTAAATTCTTATATCTTATTTTATAACTTGGTATGCATTGATTTATGACCATATTATTGGAAAGAGTTATTTACTTACAAGTTTCCCCTTTGTCCGTAATTTCAGCAATCCGTCCAAATGTGATGCACGGGCAACACCATGTTATGCAACCTGCAAAAATCTAATACTAAATGAAATGTTTTTAAAAATAAAAAATTAGTTGCTTGTATGCGCGCTAGAAGTGGCCAACTCTCAGGCTCGGGTCGGGCTTAAACCTCAGTTAGCACGAATTAAAACTGGGGCCTGGGCCCGAAACTTTTGTGGGCCAGTCCAGGGTTAATCCAATAATTTTTTTAATTTAATTTTATATAAAATATTTATAAATTATTATTTTTGGTTTGAAATGAAATTTAAACTATTGACCTCATAATTAATAATAAATATTTTACCACTTAAACTATTTCAATCTATTGATATAATAATGCTAATATATATATATATATATATATATATATATATATATATATACACACACTCACGCACACTTTTTCAAAATTAATATTTTTTGTTCAAAATAATATTTTAACTATTAATCTCAAAATAAAATTTTAATTTGATTTTCTCTTTGAAATTGTACTATTAAAATTTTTTTATAAGATTTGTAATATTATTTGATAACTTATAAATATTATAAAGTGTATTATAATTTATAAAGTTCATGCTAGATTTTGTTCGGGCTTGGACGTGCTTCGGCCGGTTAGGGACCAGGGTCATGCACAGGTCTTGGCCGGCCTGGGCCGGTTTCGAGTTGGGTTCGGGGCTATTATTTTATAGGACTTGAACAGGTCCTCTGTAAGCCGGTTCAGGTTTAGGCTATGCGTGGCTCGGGCCTACTTTTTTTTCAGTGCGATTCAGGATTGATTTGACCTTGTGTCGGCTCGTGGCCATCTTTAATATTGTGCACATATATATATATATATATATATATATATATATATGTGTGTGTGTGTGTGTGTGGGGGGGGTGGGGGAGGAGGGAGAGAGAGAAAAATAGGCTGTTATCAATTGGCATATAATATGAAATAAATATTGAAGTATACGTACAATTTGAGGCATCATCACAGCAGTCACAGAGACCGGAGGACCAAACGGCGGGAGCTTGATTCGGTGGCTCTTTTTGAGGCGGCGGAGATTTATTATAATCGCTTGAATACATATTTGAAGTAATTGGAGTTATGAATGGGAGAATGAAGATGGGAAATCATTGTAATATTGTGGGGTATTTATAGTGGTAAAGTAAGGAAGAATAATGATAGGAAGTAAGAAAACCGGGACAGAAAATATGGTCTGGGTGAGTGCCAGGAATAGTCTTCAGCTTTTTGATACGTAAGAGACTAAGAGTTAAAATTAAATGAATTATTTCATAAATTATTACAAAATATTCTCCCGGCCTCCAATCACCATCATACTCAATTTGTATTTCTTAATATAATAAAATTAGGAGACCGTGAGAGTAGAGTCAGGAGGTGAGAACGTGAGAGTAGGGTCTAATTTAGATAGATGAAGCTAACTTCATTTTGTACAATACATAAATTATTCTTCCAAAAAGGCTCAACCCCAAACTCGTGGTAACTCAACTGAACATAACCACAGAGGTAACTCAACTAAACATAACCACAGAGGTTAGATCTGTGTTCACTGCGCACAAGGAACCCCTGCTTTGAGAGGTTGCTCCCACACTGCCACTGGTGAGACTCAACCCCTAAAATTATTCTTCCAAAATTTCACCTCTATGACCAGTTGAGCTGCCCATGCGAGTACAATACATAAATTATTGAACCATTGTATTGCGGTGGCATTTGGTTGGAGACATTATTTATGTTTATTTAAATATTTTTGTTATCATATTATTTTATATTTTTTCTTTTGCAATTATAAAACTCATTATGTTTTCTGTTCCTTACTTTTGAACAGTACAATAAAAAATAATGAATTTTTTTATTTTAAACTAATAAGGTTATTATTCATATTTTTAAAAATGAAATTTTAACATGCATGTAGATATGCATATATGTGTATATGATGAGAATGTATGTAAAAGTATTGTATTCAATCATAATGTATGAGAGTACAGAGAGCGAATACATAGATACTAGATAGAGTCATAGTCTAATATGAATAATATAGTCCTAGTCTAATATGCATAATATAGTCCTAATACTCCACCTCAAGCACAAGATTGGGTAGCCAAAACATTGAGCTTATCACGGAGAGAATTAAAACGCAGAGACGAAAGAGACTTTGTAAAGATATCCGCTAGTTGATCTTTGGTTGAAATAAAGTGCACCTCTAACTCCTTTTTAGCTACTTTATCGCGAACAAAATGATAGTCAATCTCAATGTGCTTGGTGCGGGCATGAAACACTGGATTGACACATAAGTAAGTAGCTCCCAAATTATCACACCATAGTCGAGGAGGAGACGCGGGAGGGATGCCGATTTCGTGTAACAAGGAAACAAGCCATGTAACCTCTGCAGATACATCAGCTGGTCCCTTGTATTCTACTTTAGTTGAGGAACGTGCCATAGTCCGTTGCTTCTGACAAACCCAAGATATAAGATTACTGCCCAAGAACACAGCAAAGCCACTAGTAGACTTGCGATCATTCGGATCGCCAGCCCAATCTGAGTCAGAATAGGCGTGAATATCCATAGATGTAGACCGAGAAATACGCATACCAAGATTCAGGGTGCCCTTGACATACCGCATGACTCTTTTTAGAGAGGCCCAGTCCGTAGTAGTGGGAGCATGCATGTGTTGACACAAGAGATTAACAGCATATGATAAATCAGGATGAGTTACCATAAGATACTGGAGAGCACCTGCAAGACTCTTGTACAGTGTAGGATCGACGACATAGGGAACGGCAACTTCGTCGGTGATTTTCATAGAAGAGACGAGCGTGACTACTGGCTTGCAGTCCACCATGCCAGCACGTTTGAGAATATCCTTCATGTACCGTTGTTGTGATAAAAGCATACCACTAGATAACGGGACAGTTTCAATACCCAAAAAAGAAAGAAGGCACACCCATATCACGAACCGTAAACTCAATGCTAATTTATCAATAAGAGCAGTAACACGATCTGAGTCAGAACCCATAATCAAAATGTCATCAACATACACCAAGAAATAAAAACGAATATTGTCAAGAGAATAGATAAAGAGAGACACATCCGTATTCGAAAGCAAGAAGCCCACAGAGACACGAAAATCATGTAACCTTGTGAACCAAGCACGCGGAGCCTGTTTGAGCCCGTATAGAGATTTTTTAAGCAAACACACATGATCAATTAATGACTTGTCCTCATAACCAGGTGGCTGTCGCATGTAAATAGTCTTAGCTAGCTCGCCATTTAAAAAGGCGTTGTGAATATCCAACTGGCGAATAGTCCACCCACGAGATATGACTAAAGATAAGAGAAGGCGTACTGTAGTGGGCTTAACCACATGACTAAATGTCTCAAAAACGTCTTCTCCAACAACCTGATTAAAACTCTTAGCCACCAACCTAGCTTTGTGACGTTCTATTGAGCCATCCCATTCCGTTTGGTCCTAAAAGCCCACTTGCAACCAACAACATTCATACCTGGTTGAAACGGAACAAGACGCCACGTATGATTATGGACCAAGGCATTGAACTCCGCGTCTATCGGATCACGCCACTTAGGAAACTTGACCGCCTGAGAATAACAGGTAGGCTCAGGTGCTATGGTAGAAATAGTGGTTTAGGCGACATATTGATGCGGACCCGAGCTACGAGTGTTCATAACATGCGACCGAGGAGGAGGAGTGGCTCGCCGAGGACATCCGCGCGGCTCAACCTGCTGGTCCGAGACAGTCAGCTCACTCGATGCGGACTGCTCGGGACCATTATCGTCACCATCGCCAGAAGCCGACACAGGCACGGGCTCATCCGACTGCCAAGCGCCATCAACAGTCGTGGCCAAGACACCATTACCTCGGCACGTCACAACTAGTGCAGTAGCCCAAGGTTCGGAACATGGTCTAGCAACCTGTGAGGCAACAGGAGAAACAAAGGGAAACACAGTCTCATCGAATCGCACATGGCGACAGATAAAAATCTTGTTAGTGTTAGTATCCAAACAGCGATAGCCACGATAAGACGGAGGATAACCTAGAATAACACAGGGAGATGAACGAAACTGGAGTTTGTTGCGATTATATGGACGAAGGACAGGAAAGCACAAACAACCAAATACTTGCAAGTAAGAGTAGGATGGGGGAGATTGATGCAAACGAAAATGAGGAGACTCATCAGATAGAATACGAGTAGGCATTTTATTGATTAGGTACATAGCAGTTTCAAAAGCATAGTCCCAAAAACAAGACAGGACAGATGCTTGAGCCATTAAAGACAGCCATGTCTCAACAACATGACGATACATGCGTTTCACTCGACCATTCTGCTCGTGAGTATAAGCACAGGACTGCCTGTGATGAATACCCAACGAAGCAAGAGTGGAACCAAGATTTTTATATTCTCCCCCTGAATCAGACTGAAAAGAAATAACCTTGCGAGAAAAAAAAAACGTTCAACAAGTGACCGAAACTTTATCAAATATAACATACAAATCAGACTTTGCACACATTGGATAATACCACATATAACGAGTGTAATCATCCACAAACAACACAAAATATTTAAAGCCAGTCGCAGAAAGTAATGGCGCAGGGCCCCAAATATCTAAATATATTAATTCCAAAGGATGCGTACTAATAGTTTCAACACGAGATAAAGGAAAACGAGAAGATTTTTCCAATTGACAAGATGAACATACATTGGGAAGATCACTAGAATTAAATATACTAACAGACGAAGACGCTAGAATTTGACACAAGATTCGAGAATGAGGATGCCCCGCATGTGCCAAACGTAAGAGGATCGCGCAGTAACAAACGCAGCAGGAAGCAGAAGATGTAGGCCATGTGTAGAGACCTCCAGACGCATGTCTCTTAAAAAGAATCTTCTTGGTCAAAATGTCCTTCACATAAAAACAAAGAGGGTGAAACTCAAAGAAAACATTATTGTCTTTCGCAAAACGTTGAACAGATAGTAAAGACGAAGAGAGACCATGGACATGCAAAACATCATGTAACTTAAACGATCTAGAATCAGTGGCTAACGAAGCGGAACCAACATTAACAATAGGCAAACATGTACCACTGCCGACTCGCAGAGTTTCCGGGCCATCATAACTTGTCGCGGAAGTCATCAAGGATGAATCAGGGGTAGCATGATTTGTAGCACCAGTGTCCGGGCACCACTCATGAGGACCGTTGTGGTCACCATTCTCACCAGAGACAGCCACATTCGCCTGAGGAGCCGGGGGGTTGAGAAACGATGCCAACACGAGAGAGCCCCGTGTCCTTGTTTGTTGTAGATTTGGCACCGAGGACCCGTGCCCGAGCCATGCCCGCGACCGCGACCACGTCTGCCGTCGCCCGAGCCTCCACGGCCACCGTGACTAGGGGCCGCACCGCCTTGGCCAACGGCCATCGCAACCGGCGGTACACCGCCGACTCCATCGTTAGCACAAATCCACTCCTGCGACACCAAGAAATCCACCATCTCTATAAGCAGGACCGCAGCACCCCGAGCCAGGGTTGCCACAAGCAGACGAAACTCAGACCGCAAGCCACGAAAGACGTATAAGTTCTGATCGTCTAACATAACATCGCGACTGGCAAGAGCTAAATCATTAATCAACATCTGTGCACGACCAATATAATCTGCGATGGTTGAATCATCGTGCCGAAGGGCTTGCAACTCACCGAATAACCGCAACGCCTGAGAACGCAAGGAAGAGGCGAGAGATTGTTCGATGGTGAGCGAGAGTTGCGGTGAAGTAGAACGACCAACGGCGAACCGCATCGTCTTCTCCGGAAGGAACGAAATTAAGAGGGATAAGATAGCCTTGTCTTGCCTCCTCCAAGCCACCTACCGAGCCACGAGGTTGCCCGCCGCCGCTAGGCTATACTACCATCGATGAAGCCGAGAAGACCTTGACCTTCTGGAAAAGGTAGCATCTGTGTCTGCCAAAAAAAATAATTACGGGAGGTCAGTTTCAAGGAAATAAAGTGATGAGCAGATGGGAGGCTATTCTCGGTGGGCATAAGAGAAGTCTCGGTAACGGTCCGTTCATAAGATCGAACATAGCCATCATCAGGGAGACAGGG